GACCCTGCTGCGCTGGGGACAGAGGGGTCCCCGGCCCCCACCACTCACTGGTGCGACAGGTTGAGGTCTGGCCAAGCCCCCACGGACGCCAGCTGCTGCTCAAGCTCCACAACGCGCAGACCGATGTACCCTGAGGACAGCAGCAGGGCCACCATCCTGGGGGACAGGCCAGCGTCAGGCATGGGGACGGGGCAGGAACAGCACCGCAGCCAGGCTCCTGTGGGCTCACCCCGGGGACGCGGTGGCCGGGCCGGTGCGGGTGCCCAAGGGGGAGTGGGGGAACCCCGGGCTGCCAGTGCCACACTGGAGAGCCTGTCTGTGCCGGGGTGCAGCGGGGATGGGGACCCGGGGGGTGTCCCGAAGCCCTGAGGTGCATGAGCGGGTCCTGGGGACTCACAGCAGCAGGTAGATGAGGATGATGGTGTTGAGGTGGCTCAGCTGTGTGGTGGTCCGGGCCCGTAGCGTGGTGTGTGGTCCCTCTGCCAGGATGAGGCAGTGTCAGTGCTGGGACTGCTGGGAGCCTCCGCCTGGCCCCCGTGGTCGGCTCTGCCCGGTGCCGGGGGCCATCCCTGGGGTCAAGCCCCAGCAGCATCCCCCTCCCCAGGGCCCCCTGACCCACCCCAGAGGCTGCGTGGCTTTGCCAAGGGCACCCGCTCACCGCTGCTCAGAGCCAGCGCTGCTGCTTCTTCATCCTCCTCCTCCACTTGCCTTGGCGGCGGGCTCGGCCCATCTGTGTGCAATCGGGAGACGTTCAATGAGTGCCCCAAGACCAGGGAGGGGACTGAGGGTCCTGGGGACCCAGCGGGGCACACTGGGCCACAAGGAGCGGATCCTGCGCTCCCCTGTGCTGCGGGAGATGTTTAGGTGGCCGAGGGCTGCACGGTCCCTCCCGGACCGTGCGTGGCTGAGGAGGGGGACCAGTCAGTAGGGCAGAAACGTGGGTGAGGACACACGCGCTTGCACAAGCAGGGCTGCGAGCGTGCGAGGAGGGCACAGGCTGCAGGGCGGCCACTCACCCGGCGGC